CTTATTTAGTAATCAATACGTATGATCAAGTTAGCACATTTAAAATTCTAGTAGCGACATATATACAAGTTTCAAGGATGCATAAGAATAAACTGAAATGTTTTTGAGTCATCTAAATGAAAGTATTGTAGATGTTTTAATATTATCGAGATAACCATACGCTGCACACGATATCAACATATGCATTCAATAATGTGTCAGATTCGAGCTTGATATGATGCCCAATTTATAATTCAAGTTTATATTGTACTTGGTAAAGATCTAGCAAAATTCCGTTTCTTTTTTCAATTAGATTAAAAATTTTTCAAAAAATCGGTAAGAGTTCTATACCAGGGGCATAAGCAAAACAAAACGGTGGATAGGATTTGCACGAAGCCGCCCCATGATGCTGTACCATGTTGCGATTAAATGCGATCGCGACGTGACAATTTTTTCTTACAGTGATCGCGCTCGGATCGAGGAGTTGTGTCGCCAACCCTAAGAAACCGCTACTGTCGTTTCACGATCACGAATTACAAATTTTTGAAAAGTAAGACTTCATCGCGAACGCGAACCGAGCGCGATCACTATAAGCAAAAAAGTGTCAAGTCGCAGTCTCGAATTACAATTTTTCCACAAATAAGAGTCGGTTGCGATCGCGCCGTAGCTTCTTAGCGATCGCGGCACGAGTTGTGCGATTTTAAAGCGCTCGCGGAGCGAGGACCGCGTTCGTGATGTGAATGAAGCAGGAAAGTGGACCTGGGCGTTCTTTAATCTTTCCCATTGTCCATCCAAGAAAGGAATGATATGACTGTTTGTTGAATAACTTTTGATAGAAAAGAGCTAGAGAGTTCTGGTTTTCACCATTCAAAAGAAGAGACTTGGATACAAGTTTTAATAATCAAAAGTTTTTCAAAATCTCAGCATATGATCAATATTGTCCGGTAAATATGACAATAAGGTGAAAAAAATCAAAAAAGCATATTTTTCTTAACAGGGTTTTCTAGAAACCTTTTCGACAAAACTCAGGATTTTTAATTTCTTTCGGGATCTCCTGTAACCAGGGTATAGCACAGCATAAACACTCTACATTCTAAAGTTTTACATTCATTCTGATGTTTTTTGGGTGAATAGTGAATTTTTTAAGATTAGATGAATTTTGTAAAATTCGATTTTCGGTAGGTTTTCAACATTTTCCTAAACGCAAACAGTGCCATTAGACTCAGCATGGTCGAGTTCCCATAGTTCATGCATCTTCAACGCTACCAATAGTCACCGGTACCAGTACTGCAACTCGTAGGAAATCCGGTCCAGCGCCCAAACTGTCGGGAATCAAGACCTCGTTTGTCTCTCATTTTGAAGACCACATCTCACGCTATCAGCCGATGAAAAAAAATCAACACAATCCTATTGGAGCAATTTCTATACACTGCCTAGTTTTCCAAAGTACTCGTCGAAAATCTGTTTCAGGAAGACTCGCTGAAAAACTTTTGATTATTAAAACATGTATCCAAATCTCTTCTTTCGAATGGTGAAAACCAGAGCTCTCCAGCTCTTTTCTATCAAAAGTTATTCAACAAACATTCATATACCATTCTTTTTTTGGATGGACAATAGATGATCGTATGAAACAGGGTGTGAACAACTCTTTTTTAAAAAATTATTTTCAGTCTTTCAAGTGTAATGAATTAATTAGTTAAGAACGACGTATCAATTAATTAGAAGAAAATATTTAAAGAGAACGAACGTCTTGAATTGTTTAGCGAACGTAAATTAATTGGGATAGAAACTAGAACGCATTTTGAATTAAAAATATTGTAATTTTTACTATTTTCTCAATTACTAAACATATCACCTAAAAAAATTACATATTTTTTAATATTGGAAATTCTAACAAAATAATATAAAAAATATTTTCAAAGAAAAAATAACAACTGTTTCTACAAAAAAAAAAATATTTATTCATTATTTTATGATTACTTATTTGGTTATCAGTGTGTCTTAGTATAAAACGGCGGTGAGTACAATACATCAATTTTTCAAAAAATTCTCGTTCTAAGAATTCAATCGAATTGCATAGCTAAAGCAATGACTCCATAAAAGCGAAAAAAAAAAATTGGACTCTCACTAGAATCGTACCAACATTATATGCATATCATGACATACAGTGTACCACTACACAACAGAAACCGTATAGTGATACGTTTAGTAATTGAGAAAATAGTAAAAATTAAATATTTTTAATTTAAAATGTGTTCTCTTTTCTATCCCAATTAATTTGCGTTCTCTAAACAATTCAAAACGTTCTCTTTTCAATCTAATTGCGTTCTCTTTTAAATTCTTGTCCATTAATCAGTCGGCTAAACAGCAAGTATAAATTGTGTTTTAATACTTGTTATTTCGTTTCATGATTAAATGTTTATCATATCATAAGTAAAGGACAGAACAAAAATTCTTTCATATAAGTTGGTAACTTAACAAGAAAATGTGATTTTTGTTTTTGAAGAAATGTGAACTATCAAAAATGAACTAATTTCAAGTTCTAATCAGCCTATCTCAATTGAGAAAATGTTTGTTAATCACGATGGATTAGAAATAGATCAAGTAAATAAGTTAATATAAAGTTTTGACTAATTTCTTTCGATTTTCGTTTGAAAGAGTACTAAAAGTAACCTTTTTTTCGCATTTAAGTGAGAAATAAGGCGCTCCAAATTCGAACATCGAGCACGATTTTATTTTCACTTCAAATAGGCATCATTCGATAGAGAATTTCATGCTGATTAAGAATATGTTACTTTGAATTTTTTTTGAAACGTAGTTACACCATATATAAAAAAAGTTAGTGGATTTTTGAAAAGCGAGTCCCTCTCAGTTAAAAATGATTTTTTCTCGATGATAACATGCACTAAAAAAATTCAAAGTAACATATTCTTAATCACCATGAAATTCTCTGTCGAATGATGCCATATTTTAAGTGAAAATAAAATAGTGCTCGACGTTCGAATTTGGAGCGCCTTAAACAACAAACATTTTCCAACAGTTTTACTTAAATTCTTGCTTTAAATAAATCTACTTACAAGATTATTTATATTTATTAAAGTATACAACTGAGATGTATTATTGTTACTATAATCGATGAACGTTTTCGAATCAAAGACAATTGCCAGAAAATGTGTTGTACTTCAACTTCTCTTTGTAAAAGTGTTATCATAGTGGATAAAAGACGATCCACTTCATAGTAAAAAAACGAATACTTTTATTTCAAACAATTTATCATAAAACAAAAATATAATGAAATCTCAAAATAATTTTATTTTATAAAATAAAATTATAAAATTATTAATCTTCTTCATCTGTTTGATCATCATCACTATCTTCATCTCTTTGATTATCGTCACTCTCCTCATCTTCACTATCTTCATCTGTATTTATAATCTTCTTTTCAATCCATACTTTCATTATTTCACCTTCAGGACAAATAGCTTTAATTTTTATTAAACCATCTTTTGTTTTGATTGAACGATATTTATCAAAAAAACTTTGGGACCATTCATCTGTTAAATCACATTTAGCTGCATTAATCGCTGTTATTTTATGTTTATAAACACCACGAATTGAAATTGTACTTATAGAATGTTCGTTGATCTCTTCCCGAATAACAATGTAAACAACATCTTTTATTTCAGATTCATCATTATTTTGTTTTAATTTTTTTGTATTCTGTGATGAAGTAGAATATTCACTTTGTCGTTTATTAATTGTTGTAGACATGTTGTCAAACTAAACCAATGAATATATTCTATAATAATAAAATCGAAATGATTAACATGAAAACAAATAGTTTTATTCCTTATCCGGATGGGCATATCGATTCTGATGAATATTTCTTGGCAAGAAGAGCATTAGTCAGAACTTTTTTCCTACTATCTGATCGTAGTTCAATCGAAAGAACATGCAAAATAATGTATTTTTTAAATTTGAGTACATACAGTAGAAAGAATATCTTCTTAGATGACAGATAGTTTAAAATATGCAGTTTTACAAACTCGATCTTACGTAACACAAACTAGAAATTTATCTAGGGTACGTCAAGTTAAAAAGTCAATATTTAAAATATTTTGAATTCTTCTTGAAATGAATTATTTGATAACTATGGATTTCTAAAAATAGTTTTATATTTGGAAAGATTTATGTGTATAGATTCTTATTTCAAACAGAAAACTCGTAAAAGATTGCTCTTAAAGTAAAAAATTTAAATATCGCTTTCAGCCCTTCTACCTTCAAAAAGCTTATTATCTTATTTTTAATTGAATGAATTTATTATTCACAAAAAGTGAGAAAGTCATCAAAGGTCTTCGACTGTAAACAATGACTCGAGCCGGACAACAACAAAAAGAAACTATAAATAGAAAAATAAAAAAAAAGTAAACTAGTGTACGAAAATAGAGAGATAGTAAAGAAAGAATAAAATAAAATAAAGAGTAACAGCACTGTGTTTGTTTTTAATTGTAAATATGGCTATGTTCTACAGGAAAGAGGCTGAGATAAAACTATTTTAAATGACAATAACGAAGAAAAACGAACGACTGATTCTGGAAGATTGTTCCAGTCAGTGACAATTGAATGAAAGAAGGAAGACGAAACTGTATGTGGAGAAAAACCGTTTACAGGAGGTGGAATACAAACATATTTAGAATGATGAGAACGAAAGGAAGAATAATAAGGACAAAGGACATTATACAAAGAAGAAAGAGGATTAATATGATGATAAATCTTGAAAAAGTGTACTAGTCGAAAATATTTACGACGAAATGACAGATCTGGAAGAGACACTTGAAACACAAATAAAGCTAGAAGAACGATAGTCAAAATTACGAGAAATAACTCAAGAAGCATGTTTGTTTACAGAATCAAGAACAGTAAGAGAAAACGAACTATCTATATTCTGTAAAGGTTATAGAAAAACAATCTAATTAGACTTCACAAGAGCTTTCGGAAGTAGTCAACAGTTATATTGAATCTTCCAGCACATTTTTTCTCTTAGCGGCTAACCCATGTTGAAGTTACGGTTCAAGATAAGCTACTGAGGAAGTGTACTGAGAAATTTTTCAGTAAGTTAACTTACAGCGCATTAAATTGAATTCACCAATCCAAAACGATATATATATTGTTCGTTTTTGCGTTCATACTTTTCTGATACAAGAATCAGGACAAACGATATCCAAGATGGACGTATATATTCTTTTTCGTCGAAAATGGTGAGAGGCCAAAGAGCAATGCAATGGTATTTGTTTCTCGTAGATCAAATCCTCAGTAGCTTGACCGAAGTTACGTGCTAATGGCATGTGTTATTGGCGGGTGCGGTGAAGAAGCTGAAGTTATTGAAGATCATCTCATTTGATTGCTCTAGCAGCGAATCCACACTTCTCAAATCTCCAATAATGCAGACCATGACAATAGACTGATAACTGATGGCAAAGAAAAGCTATCACTTCATGATTCGAGACTGCTATTGATATATGGTAAAATTTCTACATAGATGTCGCATGGTTCAATGAAGCTGTTCTCCAAAAATAACATGGCGTTTCGAGCCAATTTTTCGATTGAAAGACGGGTCAAGTTCTTTCATTAAACTGCAGACTATATTTCTCTTACTGAATTTTTGCTGCCCTACCGAAAACTTCACCTACTCATTTCTCAGATTGAGCTGAAGCACAGTGTTCATCCAGGTGGACTTTTTGGTGAAAAATTGAAAGTGCGCTAAAAAAAGAGGTCGGAACTGACGCAAAACATATCATCGGAAAAACAATGAAGTTGATTTTGAGTTGCTGAAAATTGGTTTTTCGTATTCAGTACGCTCGATAACTCGGAAAATTTTCTGTTTTTGGCCAGAGGTACTTCCGAAAGTTTAGTATAAATTTTCAAACTAACCTGATTGTGTTGTGTTAAGATAGTGGTTTTTTCTACTAGTTTTGTTGTAGGGTAGATAGTCAAGTTGTTACCATTTTTGAATAAATTTTAGATATTTGAAAAGTCCATCTTCTATATGATTATTTTACAAGAACTGGTTAAACTCTGTCTATCTGTAAAATTATTCGTCAGAATTAGAGACGACAATCTTCTTCGAAAAGCCACTCGCAACTTGACTATACCAACCTTGTCATCTCTTTATTAAACTCTACTGCTCGGCACACAATGAACTTCTGTTGCTACTCCTCACAGCTTTTTCTTGTAGCTCACTGTCACAATTACAAGTTTAATCCTATTGCAATTGCATCGGTCGCTACCATAATTTTACACGAATCATCTGGATCATTAAACCGTTGTGCTTGCAGTAATTTAGTTCCTGGGCGATAAAAGAAAGAAGAGATGTAACAGCTAACGAGGAAAGTACACCAACTGATAAATCGCTTTTTGAACGAAACCTAGTGGACTATAGGTAGCCGATCATGCTGATTCTGAAAATCACCATGACTGCTGCTACTAGGTCTGCAAAGATCGATTTTCTGGAAAACCAGTTTTAAGAAACTAAAATATACCCCAAAGCTTTCTTAATGAGGCATGCTTGTAGCCCGCAAATTTCTGATTAAAATGAGACATCTCCCAACTCTACACGACCTTTCTTTGCAAAATTATAGGATTTACAAGAAAAGCCCTAAATGTTCAGTTCAAAGATACAGAAATAAGGAAAACATTAATTTATGGCTTTTATTCTATAAATTTGCATAGAAAGGTCGTGTAGAGCTGAAGATGTCTCATTTTAATCAGAAGTTTAACCAAGGCTCATTAAGAAACGTTTTGGTTATTTTTCAGAGTTTCTGAATAACTGGTTTTCCGGAAAACCGGTCATTTCAGGCCTAGCAGTAGCAGTCATGGTGGTATTCGGAATTAGCATGGTATTATTTCCTTCACACAGCAGTGTCGATGAAGCAGGTAATCAGACAGATCACCAAGACTGAAGGACGAAAAGGAAGGCTAAAACAAGAGCTATCTATCATTTCCCAAAAAACTTATGTGTGTTCTTCAGCGTGTTCTTCGGTTTTTTAAAGAACACGCTAAAGAAATTGAAATTGAATTATAATTCGAATAAAACGTATTCTGAATTTATAATTATATTTATTTTATTGTGTTCGTACTTTTTATTTAGAGTGACTAATTAACTCGAAATTTGTTCATTTTTTTGTTCTTGAACACAGTCAAAGTTCTGAGAATGTGTGTACATGGAACGCGCACACAAAAACGTTCGAGACTGTATTAAGCTTCCGAAAGTTCAAAAGTTGAGCGAAATTTATTTTTGCGATGTGTATACATGGTTCGATGCAACAAAAAAGATTAAATTTTTTAAAACCTGAAAAATGGCATATTTGTTAAAAAATGAGAGTAAATGTCGCATGTACTAGTTCACATAAATTCACTTGTATTTTGCAGTTTTCAGCGTCACCCTTCTATTATCTTGCAAAACCAATGTCATATTTGGAATCAGGATCGAAAACTGAATTGAGTGACGTGTGTCTTAGGATTTTTGGACTAATCTGTTTTCTTCCGGAAAAATCTCAGTCGAAAGTTCGAAAAAAAAACAACTTTATCCAAAAATCGTGAAACACCCGGAACAATATTTTCCAAAACCGATGCGTAACTTTTTTCGCGCTATTATGGCGAGTATAATGATATAAAACTATTGGCTTCATCACTTATCTAGAAAGACTTGAAGCATTTGCCAAAGAGGGAAGAATTATTTTCACTATTGGTGAAAGACCAACAATTTTCAGGATCATATGATATTTGAATAATATCAAAAGCATATTTTTTAGATACAGTTTTTCACGTAGAATAATAATAAAACTGGTTCAAAATTACCGAAAACAGTACATGAGGCACTTACGCTCATTTTTTAACAAATAAGCCATTTTTCAGGTTTTAGAAAATTTAATTTTTTTCAAATTTTCGACTCTATAAACATCAACTAAATATAAAGAGCACGGATGGTTTTTTAATAACTTTTGAAGGAAAAACACTAGAGATCTATGATTTCCAGATTATGAAAGAGGACAGCTGAGGGCATATGTCTATACTAAAATGAGTCCTTTCTGACAACACTATCATGGTGTGCCTCTCAAAACAAAATGTCCGAGCCTGCCATTTCAAAAAGTCTTACAGTGAAGTACTGCTTCAAAACCATGTGGATATAGAACAGATATCACTCTACAACCTGGCGCAAGTGCCAAGCCTCCATCTACCATTGGAAGTCTCCATCACTCATATTTCCGGAGCTACAGGCAATCTCCGAGAACCTACCTATCGACTAAATCTGAATTCTGGGAACCTCAAAAGTGCATGGTACATATGTTTCCGGATACCCTAAACCTGGTGGTAATGTTTGTTTTGTTGTCTGGATTAAAAGAACGTCAAAAGATGAGTTTTTCTGCAATGACCGTACTAAAATAAAGAGTTTCTAGCGCCTTCATTTTTCAACCAAATTCCTTCAAACTTTCAGAACTCACCCAGTTTCGCCTGCTGTACAGCTTAGGACTGTTAGAATTATTTCTCATACTGAGATTTTGCCCTTTGATGTGAATATTCAGTCTCAGTCATCGGGATTGCTTACGCTTTACATGAAAGCAATATAAGTGAAACCACTAATTTACTTGGTATACATGATAATTGTTATAAGATTTCTACTGAAGGCACAACATCCTTAAAACTTGTATATATGTCGCTACTAGAGTTTTAAATGTGCTAACTTGATCATACGTATAAACGTAAAACAGAAT